TCCCTCTGTAATACACAAAGAGAAGTAGGATATCTAGTTGTTAAGATCTGATATGAGCATACCCCATAGTTCTGGCTAAATATATCTCTGTGCACTCAGCTAATAAATGTATTCTTTCATCCTGAACGTTCCAATTTTCTTATAATGCCCAACCTCCAATTCTCTCCCTTTCAGTCTGTATTAAGAGTTCATGGGGTTCCTATCAAGACATCCAAGGCCTCCGATTCCCAAATGGGCACAGCCTGCCTTGGGCTGGGTTCTGCTCCCGGCTGCCCACCTCTCGCTTGGTCTGCAGGCAGCTGAGCTGTTTGCCAGCCACCCGCCAAAGGGCCACGGCTGGAGCCCAGCGTTCGTGTCCGTCTGACGCTGGTGATGAGCTGGGTTAAAATGCCGCTCCTGAATTGCGGGGCTTCAGCAAGTGGTTCCCAAGTAGCGCAGCCTCCGGGCTGCGGGGGCAGGAGGACACGCAGCTGGCAGCAACACCTTTGTGAGCCACTTGAAGCTACGCTGGCTCCCTTCTGTACCCTGGGCATGCCTGTGACAGATCGTGCTGCCGCAGGGTGGTCCGAGACAAAGTGGCAGCGCGGTGACAAAATCGCCTGTGCCTTGTTCCCCCCGGGGAATGCCCTGGATTCGCCTGTGGATGAGGGGTCCTGGGAGTGTGTCTGACAATGGAAGCTTGCGTTTATAAAGGCTTTTATTTCTCAGCTCGCTTCTTAGGCATATTGCCAAGAGGTTCCTTCAAGCAGTTATATCCACTGCAAAATCTAGGATATGTGCTAGTGACAGGAAAATCTTGAATTAGTTTAACTGCTATGGTTGAAAAATTGTCCTATGCGGAGTATAGCATGTCTTTGGTATGTGGGACTTCAAGTGTATTTTGGTTACTGCTATTACAGGTGAGTTTGATCACTGAGTTCTCTTTCAAACAAATTGGTCTGAAACGCAGTGTCTGAGTCTGTTCTTAACGTTACTGCTTGTTGTGCCAATTCGGCAATTAGGCATAGCTCAGCCAATGAAATAAGTGTCCAAAACCCAGTTAGTGGTAACAGTTTTCCTATGGATTCCTGAAGACAAGAGTAATGGAATGGATTGACACAGAAATGTGTATACATTTATCCAGACTAATGAGAAATACTTTTGATGAAGTTCTGTAATTACATTTTGAACTGCCAACATTAATCTGTGTCTTTGTGGCACTCATCCTTCTGAGTAGACAAAAATATTAACTTGTTTTATTTTATACTTCAGAATTATCTTTGGAGCTTGTCATTGTTATAAAATGAGCTCATTGATAAAAATTTCATTCATCATTAGAACAGCATAAACTTTTCACAGCCATAATGCATTGTATTTTAACCCTATTCTACATTCTGTGTTGAAAGGACACCAGAAGCGAAGTAATTTAATTTTCTTTGTTTCATAAGGAACAGTCTTTCCC